AAAATTCAAAAGAGATTATGAGTTCGATATTAATTTGAAAGGATCTGTCTCCAAGTCGCCGCTGTTTAATTTGCAACGGAGTGACACTGATTGCAAACTTTTCCAGATGACGCTTATGCATGGTGACATCATTTCCATGCACCAGTGCCTGGGATGAATGCCAGTTTGTGTGATTTAATTTCTCCATAAATGACAAGGCTCCTTTTACAGCTCCACCGAGCGATGAATGAACTAAATGTGCATTGGGGAGAAGGAGAGGGAGCGAGTCCAAAACCAGAGAAAGGATTAAGGAATTGGAGAGAAAACTAAAATGAAGTGCAGAGTTCAAATGATAAATGAACAGAGATGTAACACAGAGGTTGAAAAAGACGAGAAGTAAATAGTGGGGGGGTGAAATGAGGGGGAAAAAATTGAATGTTTTTTTTATCGTGTGTTATTGTTGGGAACAGAAACAGGAGTAGCAGAGGGTTGAGCAAACTTCTGAAGCTCAGCCGGCACACAAAAGCGCATAGAGAGTGCAGGGAGAGACGATTAATTAAACGCACCTTACAGTAAACGAGCCACAGGGAGGGAGACGCTCGTCACGGCACAGCGGTGGCGGCGCACACAGCTGCACAGGCTGAGGCCCGGGGAGCTCCCCACAATTAGAGAGCACAGCAAAGGCAGGTTCAAAGCCTGCCCCATGCCAGCGTCTCTGTCCTGAGGGGTGGCAGGGTTAGAGGAATGAGGACGAATAGAGGGTAGCAGCACAACACACACACACACACACACATAGGCATGCTGTGCATCCACAGAGAGCTCATATTCATACCCACACACAAACAACTGTGTGATCTTGAGAGAGTTTGGCCAGAATACACACCTCCCTTAGCCTGACTCTGCCTTTGAAGGCTGCCATCTCTCCCTGTGAGCCAGCTAAGGAAACTGGGTCCTTGCTGAAGGCAGTGTCGGTATAGACCCTTTGCTTTAGAAAAGCAGACCTGGTCATTTTATTCAGTCTATGTACCCACACACACACACACATGCACACGCACACACGCACACATACAAAACATACTAGAGGCCATACTGCCAGGAGGGCCTGTTTATTAAAAGTTAGTGTAGCAGCAGAGTCTGAATTTAATTATGTGTAAATAAGTGAGTAAACATTAGCATTCAGAAATTAAAAAACTACGCTTCATTGAGGAGTACGGCACGGCCCGGGAAGTGAAATTAGATTCAGCGGCTGTATTTAAGAAAAACCCTTCTACATTTTGCAAGAGCACCCACTCAGCTTACTGAGAGACGCTTTCTCATGCTAGGGCTTCTGAATCTCAAAAAAAAGAAAAAGAAAAGTGCAGCGATGCAGCCCCTCGCCTGGGTCGGAGATATACAGAGCCTTCGCGGTGGCGTTGCTTTCCACCATGCAAAATCAATTGTGGTTAACAAATTGGCCGTGACGTCTTGCCCTGCCGGGGTGGGTGGAACACTTCTTCATGGGTCCTCCCAGTTTTTAAAAGGACCTTTTCCACAGTCTGGGAGGCCTCTTTTTAGAGCTGAGGTGAGTGGAGCACAGACATGGCCACTGTGAAATCAACACTTAATAATGCTTCACATAGCACTTAAACACGGGGCAAACTCATACTAATGTACCACACACTGAGTTGGCCCTTGGTAACCTTGCTCAGTGAATGGGAGTTTGGTGGGCCAAAGGGTTTCTGATAAGTGGAACTAATGGTTATTTTCTTATGAATCAATTTAAAAATTAAGAAAATATTTTAAAATTCCCATTGAAATAACATAAAGCCCAAAGTGGCATGTTTGTCTGACCAACAGTCCAAAACCCAAAGTTATTCAGTTTGCTATCACATTAGCAGCCTACCTTGAAATTTAGACTACAACGAGGGAATGTTTGCTTGAAAAATGACTTAAACAATAAATAATTTATCAAAAAATGTGAGTTTTTGATCAATTGATCTGTTGTTTCAGCCCAACATTACATTAACACTACAATCTTTTTATTTGTTAGAGCTGGGTATTGCTTCAAACTTTTCATTACCAGTTTTTTGCGACAGGTGCCTTGTTTCACCACTGGTACCAAGCCAATACTTTACTGTGAGGAATTCAGGATTTCCTATAAAACCTGTGTATACATTAACCAAAAATGGTAAAACCTCAGATTTAATGCATCATCTAAAATTATTACAGGACTTGACATGATTGCATGACTTCCTGACAAAGCATCCAGTCCCAACTTTTAAGTTTTAACACATAAGAGTTTGTACCCTGCAGGTATTGAGTGTTTATTACAGGGGAAGTGAGTTATTTTAGTGACTCATTAATAATCTGATCAGTTACATTATGTATTGTGCCTCAGCCCAGTGGTGGTCGGTCAGTCATACTACTGCAGTTTGTTTTCCTCCATTGAAAGGAAACGTCCACCTCTCTCTCAAATAGGAGCAGTTTGTTATAGCCTGTTGTCGGATCTCAGTTAATGGAGCAGCAGGTGGACTTGCAGTAACATGATATAACAATATGGCCCATCATTTTGTCACACCAGCTGCTCCCCCTGACAATCACGTCTCCTCCACTGTCACTCACTTCCTTTTCCCTCTCAGCAAACACCTTTATCCTTTCAGGGCTTTCTTGCTTTTCAAAACAAACCATAAAAAGCCAGATGTTGCTAAACTTCTTTTGTCATTTTTGACGTCATTTCTTCCTCCAGATAACAACTCTAAATTGTGTTATTTTCTTTTTGAATACAAAAGGCAGATTTTCAAATGGGAAGAGTCTTTTCAGTGTGGTGGGAAAATACCTCCTCGCCTTAAGTCTGGCAAAGCTTTTTCATATGATTGCACCTCCACCCTCCACCTCGCTCCTCATCCCCTCATCCTCCCATCCCTTCTCTCCGGCCTGTGTGGCAAACACCAGCTGCTTTTTCTTTAAACAAGTGAAATGCCATAAGATTAGCAGAAGAGAGATGTGTGAAATGTTTTACCAGCACAATTACGTAGCATGTCACTTCATTAGGCACGACAAAATGGAGCAAAATGCTCGGGTGCAAGCTTTGACCTTTTGAGGGGAGGAGCTGAGAGGGGGGGGCCAGGGGCTTGTGAGCGAAGAACAGGGAGCTAATTTTACTTCATAATGGCAACCAGGCGGTTTGAATAGACAGAAAAGAGGGGGAGCAGCGAGGTCAAGTGTCAGCCGTCCTGCCAAGCGGCCCTCACAGGGTTCATCTCTGCGGAAACACAACACACACAAATGCGTGCGCACACACACACTCGGGCCCAGCCTCCTGCTGACAATGCAGCCACGCCCCCCCACCCTTGGCTGCCTTTTGTGCCTCTTCAACAATGATTAACTGAGTTTGGTGATTCAGAGAGTCTGCAGCAGCACAATGCACTCTCTCTTACAAAACATAATGGAGTCAACCCATGAGTCAAACAGTCTCTCTTTCTTCCGCTGCAGCCTCAAACTTTCCATCTCCCCCTGCTAACAGCCTCTTTGCTTTTCTTTTCTTTCCCCCTCCCTTTCTGCTTTCTCTCTGCCTTTTGACCATAAATCTGCCTCCACCCCCCACCCCCCCACCACCCTCAACCCCCCAAACTTGTTAATGCAGGAAGAGCGGGTAAATGCTGCCATCCTCCTAATACATAGAAACAAGATCCAGATGGAAAGAGGCAGCGTAGGTACCATGTGCTGCATGTGAAAATGTATTGATTAGCTTAAATCAATGCATAACCTTAAAAAGCATCTCCTGCAAGAAATTCACAGATTTGACCTCGCTGATCTTAAAGATTCCTATGATGCTCAAATCAAAAAAAGAGCAAAGCAGAGGGAGATGGTATTTAGAGGCATGAAATCCAGCATCCTGGCAATACCATAGGGGCCTTCAAAACCTGAGATATGGAAAAAAAACAAACAAAAAAAACAGTAGACTTGTAATGAGTGGTCTGCAGTGCTGAGGGGAAGTTACAGAACATAGTGTGAGTAAAGCTGGGCAGTGGTGTTAACAGAAACACTAAAATCTCAGAACATCACACCCCCAGGCCTTTTACAGGAGGTGTGAAGGAGCTCACCTCTCCTCATGACAGGAAGAGGAAAGAGTGTGGTTACACATTTTTCTTTTTTTCTTTTTTTTTTTTCTTTTTTTTGCCAATGTGAAAAGCCTGATTGTCCCGAGCTGGAGGGAAAGGAGCTGGAGCTGGTGGTATCATTTTGGCTTTCTCCTCCAGGCTCCAACAAAAGTGGCGTTAGTTATGTTTCCATAAAGGTTTTAAAGCAAATCTCTGGAACTGCAGTGAAAGGAAAAGTGAATTGGTGCCTCAGATTGTGAAGAACAATAACGATTTGGGAAATAAACATAATCTTCCTTATCTGTTTGTAAAGTTTGAGGCTAATGTCTGTCTGTGGGTAACTTAGCTTAGCATGAAGACTGGAGATGGGGCAAAAGCTTTCTCCAATATTAAAAAATAAGCCTACCACCACCTTCAAAGCTAAATTTGTGGTTGAAAAGGAAGTTACAAGCCCACAATTTCATCTTTTTTTTTGTCTTTTTTTTTTTTTTTTTTTACCAGGTTCTAGATTTTCCACTTAGTTACTTTTATGTGGAAACTCATAATGCTGAATGAAAGCAGGTGAAAATGTACCTATTGTCCTTGTCTTCTTCTCCTCTCATATAACATCGTCTCCTCCTCCATGTGACCTCTTCCACAGCATAAGAGGAGCCCCTCATTACAACTCGACAAAAACTCAGTAGTAGAAGGCTAATCTGAAGGCAGGAGAAAAGAAACCAAAAATGTGTCATGCACAGGTCTCTAGTGCAACACAGACCAGGGCTCAGTATGCAACAAAAGGATGATGGTGTCCAAACAGGACATGAATCTAAGACTCATCTGTTCTTTTCCTTTCTTCTCTTCCAGGACACAAACAGCAGCCAGAAAGAAGGGAACCAGAAAGCCACTGCAGTAACGAAAGAAAGAGGAACGGTCTTTTCAAATACTACTCTGTGCTTCACAATGGGAGTGGAATTGCATCTTCCAGCAGTTGCCAGCACCTTGCTCCCTGTGACCCTCTGCATTTTGACCCTTCTGCCTCACAGCCTTCTGGGTAAGCCTGCAGGGGAGGACAACGCAGGCAGCTCAGCACTGCTCCAGAGGGTGAAACGAGGCTGGGTGTGGAACCAGTTCTTTGTCCTGGAGGAGTACACTGGACTGGAACCACTTTATATTGGAAAGGTCAGTGTTAAATAAATGCGCTACTGTATGAACACGCACACATACAGTATATGCACATACAATGGAGGTATGACCTGGGGAAATGCTAAGCATACAGTTTTCTGGATCTAGGAAGGGAGCAACTTTTCTGCATGACCTTTCCACCTGATGCGTGAGCTGCCTCAGTGTAGGTGTTGCAAACTGTGCAAACTAAAAACCTGTAGAGAAACTCAGCAGCCTGGAGGTCAGCTGCAGCTCGGCCAGAGCTGAGCTAAAGAGAAGATCATGGGTGGGCAGAAGGAAGCTTCAACAACTAGAAAAAAAAAAAACCCAATTTAATCCCTCAATACACCGCGTCCATACTAGGACACCCTCTCTTCTGTCCACTTTGAACCAGAGCCAGACAGTAGTGATTGAGTTAATTGACCTGAACCAAGGCTTCACTCAGTCGGCTTCGTTCCACAGAAGTGGACGGCACGTCTGCAACACAGCTGACATGCTCTGAAAAGAGCAGACGACGGATACTCACAAAGGAGCACTTTGATCGTTTAGTTGCTGAAGTGAATTGAACATTTGATCAATAGGGAGGGCAGTCATCATCAGTGGAGAGACACAACAATCTTGCAAACTGAAACAAAAATTGCCACTACATTTTTGGTGAAGCTTTTCATGATAAGTAGTCCCACTGTGCTTGAGCCAGAGAGTTCCATTGCAAAAATGACTGTTGTGTGTATCAATGTATTGTTATCAACTTGTAAATTAAAGTGAGGATGCTCAAGAAATAGCAAATCTAGCATTAGCTGCCGGTGCATGTCATTTTCCACTATATTTTAATTAGATAGCAGATGCTAACTGACCGATAACGCTAGCAGATATTATGAACTGACTATTTCCAACAGTCGTCAGAATCTATAGTTATACTTTTCATCACAATGAAATAAATATTTTAATCACGTTTTATTAAGATCTCTATACGTTCGGGGCTAAGCAGTAGCGTGTCCCATCAGTCTGTGAAACTGTAACATTAGCTAGCGTAACATTAGCTCAGCAGCTAATGGTGTCAAAAGGATCAATTCAGATGATACTTTCAGCTTTGATTGTCAGTTTTGACTCACCAGCAATTATTACCATAAGTGTGTTAATTATGGCAGATCTTAGTGTGATAATTATTTTTAAGAATAATGATTGAGTAATTTTCGAAACCACAGCTGTTGTCAGACAATGTGAGTAGTTAATTAGCCTGGTTTTATAGCCCCACAGATGACTTGAATTAAAAAAGTAGGTAAAAGTTTTGTCAGTGGGACATTTCTAACCTGATGCGCCAGACGTTACACAGAACCATCTGGGACGACTTTGTTGGAGGTGATCAACATTTTGGCAGGTAATAGGATGAACCATCTGTCTATCATATGACGTCGTAGGACAGTGCCAAAGAGGAAACGCAGCACAACACCCAGCAGTCTGAGGAGCTGTGGAAGCTAGATAGCATGTTGGTAGACAATTCTTGTCGTCTGAAAGGAAAAACAAAAGTGCGCATATAAGCACTTCTTCGTAGCTGTCATAGTTGTTTTTTGTTTTTCTTTCCTAAACATACAAGTTTCTTTAGTGTAATTGAATTTAACATATCAAACATCAATTCCCATCATTTTAATTGTTGCACTCAACAGGTATACAGTTTTTGCTGTATTTCTAATTTTGCCCCATGAATGAGAATAAAATATCAATGGGCCTATTTGACACAATTTTAGACAGTCCTCGCTCAAACACTATATTGTTTTGCATGTAAACTGTGAAACTTTTCCAGATTCCTAAAAAGATATACTGCCCTGATCTGAAAACTCTGATTCCAAACCTTTGATTGAATTTTCATCAGTATTCCTCATTGGCTTTTAACAACACGGGAGCACTAACCGCTCATCCTCTGAAATTTCCCTTTGGGAATGATGCAAACCTACCTAATTAGTGTTATGGAATAATTTCACCACCACCGTTCGGGAATACCAAGGAAAATGTTGGATTCTGAAAAGTCACGTGGTCTGAACGGGTAGAAAAGTAACAAGTCCTGAGAGAGCTGCAGAGTGAAGTACTGTATCTGCTTATGTGACATGAAAAATTCCTTGCAGTCGCTGTAGCATATTCACTCCCATCTAACCTTCTCTTCTTTCCCATTTAGCATTTCTTCACTGATTCTTTTCAAGCCGCCCATCCTAATTTTTTCTAAGCTGGATGAAGTGATTTTGACAGGCCAGGCTACTACCTAGAGAGCCACTCAAGGCAGAAAGGCATTGTAGAATATGACAAAGCAGGAGAAAGATGTAATGTAGCCTTCCCCCTTAGGTTTTTTTCAGCCTACTTTGCCTCTCCTCTGTTGAGGAACTTAGTATTCAGAGCCGTTGGGATGTTAGAGTATTTGGGCTTTAGGCTGGGGCTGAGATGGAGCAGGTAATTGATAGCCTGAGTGTCAGACTCCTTCTTTTCATTGGCTTGGGTGGAAAGGAGGGATCAGAGCAGAAGAAGGCGGATGAGGCGAGGGAACAGCATCGGCCTGAGATATATCACCACGAGACACAGGGCTGAAGCCCACAATGGGGTGTTGATTAAAAAATCTATTCTGGGCCGAGCTGGGCCGCATGTCGCTTTAGAGGAGAGAGTTCAGGTGGGCGCGCTGTCCAAAGAGATAGGGAAAGCTGTATTGTCTGCTGCTCGGGAATGGTAGGTATTGTGAAGATTGCTGCCAAACTATCGCCAGAATAATGACAAGTGCTGTAGCTGCAAGCTTTCAGCAGTTCGACAGCCTCGGCGTGGTCATTCCACTTAGTGACCCCGGACTACAAAAGGCCAAAGCAAGTAACTTGAAAGGAGTGTGTTTTCAGCTGTGGAGGGGGGGTGGGGGTATTTTTGTACCATGTTGTGCACGCCTGTTGATTATGTACGAGACAGACCTCAATGGGGGCATTTAATTGCGTTCTGCCAGTGTCATCATACAGCAGAGACCCTTTAAGTACAAAGTAAGTGATTGCACATCAACAGGCTGGCGTTTGCACTTACAGGCCACAAAAGACTTCTGATTGCACTGCAGGGTCCATGGCAACAAACAGGCTGTAAGCTGTGATTAGAGACCAACTCACAGCTACAGTATTAAGGTATGCTTATAACTGCGTGCCATCCCTGGAGGTCTGGAGTTAATGTACCCACTGCTACAATTAGGGGGGAATATGTTGACAATTTTGTCATGTATATATACTTTTATGCAATGTAGCATATGGACTGAATGTGTCACGTTTTTTCGTCATTTCAAAGCAGTCCTGAAATCAAAATGAACCAGTGTCTATGGAGCTTAAAGTGCCGACTCACGGCTTTAATTTGAGGGTGTTTACATCCACATCAAATGAACAGTGTAGGAGTTTAAGCCAGTTTTACATAAAGAGACAGAAGGTAATTTAACAAATAAACTCTCAATTAAGGCAGTTCCTAAATATGATTTTCATTATCAGATAAATCTGTTTAATTATTTTCTTACTTTAGTAATTCATTGTTTAATCTATTAAGTGTCAAAAAATAATGTCAGGGCCCAAAATGGTGATTTCACATTGCTTGTTTTGTCAGAGAAGCAATCCAAAACCTGAAGGTAGTCAATTTACGAAGATATAAAAGAGTATAAAAAAAGTATCCAATCTTTGCATTGGAGAAGCTGGAACCACAAAATGCTTTGAATACTGAATAATAAGTGATCAATTTCCTGTTGAAATAATAGATAATACGCTCTACCAGGCCTGTGGTGAAGCTCCATTTAAGCTTATTCTCATTTCTTTCCATATTGGCTTTTTTGCTTACGGTCTGCTCCTCATCAAGTGAAACACATGTTCATTTGGACCGAGATCATGTGGCTGACTTGGACAGACAATAACTTTCCACTGTTTTGGCCCCAAAAAGTGCTTTGATTGTGTTGTTTGTATGTTTAGGATCACTGTGCTGCTGCATTGTTCTAAAACCAGAGGACTGTGACCCAATTAAACGTCCTCAAAAACACTTCACTGTCCTAATACTTTGGACTGCGCCATATGCTGGTTAGATTCCTGTTAGTTTCAACTTGTGAGCACACTTTTTTGATGCCATTTTATCTGTGTTTTGAATATGTGTTCGTGATTTTTGAGACTGATTGCAGTTTGGGCTCAGATTTGACCATATGGGAACACTGTTGTTGTTGTCCCACGCTACTCCTGAAACCCTTTAGATGTCCCCAAAATAGTTTAAATAGTTTACTTTTGGGTATTTGCATTGTGGGATAAAACCTTTTGACTTCCCTACAGCTTCACTCAGACATGGATAAAGGCGACGGCTCCATTAAGTACATCCTGACGGGCGAGGGAGCTGGCACCACCTTCACCATTGATGACGGCACGGGGGACATCCACGCCATCCAGAGGCTCGACCGGGAGGTGAAGGCCCAGTACATCCTCCGCGCCCAGGCCCGCAACCGCCTGACAGACAGGCCTCTGGAGCCTGAGTCCGAGTTCATCGTCAAGATCCAGGACATCAACGACAACGAGCCGAAGTTCCTTGACGGACCCTACCAGGCAACCGTACCTGAAATGTCCAAAATAGGTGAGTAGAAGGAGACAGAAAGGCAGACAGATGGACTAAACTGTTGCCTGTGCATGTTTGCGGTGTTTGTTTTGAAGGGAGCGGCTGCTGGAAGTTTGCAGCCGTGGTGAACAATACCAAAGTACATAACAGCCCTGCAGAGTTATCGCTGTCACTTGTTCTTACAGGCTCGTCTCCATCTGCTTCATTCACTATTCATAAACCTGCTTTTGTGGTTACTTTGAAGTAAATAAGCGTAGTTCATTCCTGGAGCTGCTCCAGCCACAGATAAAAATAAAAAAAAAACTCAATTCAAAATGATTTCTTTGATTAAAATGTTAATTTTGACGTAGCTGATCACTATCTTCCCTTCTCCTCCAATTCTCATTTTTCATACTCCTCCTCACCTTTGCCTCTATTTGTATGCAGGAACATCTGTGATCCAGCTGACCGCCACAGATGCGGACGACCCCACATATGGCAACAGTGCTCGCGTGGTCTACAGCATCCTGGAGGGCCAGCCTTACTTCTCAGTGGACGCTAAGAGCGGTACAACTGCACACATGCTGCTCAACTCTTTTTAAAACACATTCTAAAACGATAACCAGTATTTTTATCCATTACATGTTGAGTGTGATGGATTTCAAACTTCACCAGACACTTTAACTATTTTATGAGCTCCATATCAATTTGTAATGAGTAGGAATGATGTTAGATGATGTGATATAGTCGACAAACTTGCCAGCATTTACTAACACCTGATAACTGCCATTAATTCCCCACCTTGTTTCTAATAGTCTATCTCACTGTAATAGCACCATAGTCTGATTTTAGCTGTCCACACTTTAAGCCCCTGACTATAGCAACCAGCTTTGAATGTGGGAAGCTCAGCATGGCTCCCGTTGTTGCTATGAGACTGCCAAACACTTGTCTGGAACACTGCACGCTCTTATGTTGCAACTTGCAGTATTTCAAACTCCTGGCACTCAACAAAAAAGACGCGCTAAGCTCAAAGTGTGACTTCTCTGTTGAAAATGAGGACAGAATAAGACAGACAGCCCCCTTCGCGCTGAAGTGATCGAGTGGTTTTAGAAACTTTCCCACAGCTTCAAAAAGATTCACATCAGTTTCCATCTGGCATTAAAGGGCCATGACTGTGATTTTACTGTTTTTTTGTCTGTTTATTGTACATCAGACATAATTTACATTGCTGCCAATCATTAATCAAACAATGCCAATGTGATTTCAATTTTTTTATGTAACTTTCCAGGCAGCATTGACACCCATTAAATTCAGTATTTTATGAAAATCAATAAGTAGATCGCCCTGAGATGTTTAATCTATCATAGTGAACATAGAATCTGTATTTAAGCCACATCCTCATTAAAGGAATAGTTTGACATTTTGCAGAAATCTTCAAGAAATCAAGGTGAGAACGTCAATATCAGCCTCATGCCTGTGCATCAAGTACAAAGCTAGAGCCAGGATGCAGTTAGCTTAGCTTAACATAAAGGCAGGAAACAGCTACCCTGGCTCCGTCCAAAGAAAATCTTACCAAATTCACTAACGAAGCCTGTACACAAAAAGAAATTTTATTTTTGAACCGGCTAGTTGTTTCTCCCTGTGTCCAGTCTTTAAGCTAAGCTAAGCTAATCTAACTGCCTCCTGGATCTAGCTCCATGCTTACTGGTATAAGAGTGGTATCATTCTCCTCGTCTTATTCTCTACAGAATAACTGAAACCTTTATTTCTACAAAGTTAACCAACAAGAGATGCTAGCTAGAAGATAGCAAATAATATATATAAATACATATAATTACAGCTGGTTTTAGCAAAGAATTGCAAAGTAAACGGACTTGCATTACAGTTTGGTGTGGAAGACTGTGACTGGCTTGCACAGAACCCTGACCTCTGTCACATCCAGCATCTTTGGGATGCACTGGAACATGGACTGTGAGCCAGACCTTTTAAGCCAGCATCACTTCATTAATGCTTTTGTGCCAGAATGGGAACAAATCCTTGCAGCAAGGTTCAATATGTGGTGGAAAGTCTCAAAGCAGAGTAGTGGAGGCTGATATAGCAGCACATAAATGGCCACGGTTTGGTGTTAAACAACTGCAAATAGGTGTATTGCTCAGGTGTTTACATATGGTTTTTCCAGTGTCCAGATACTTTTGGCCACATAGTCTAACAAATAAAGCAAAGCAGTAGCAATAAAAAACTAATTATTCAAAACATCTAAATATGCAGCTAAAACCCCTTTAACTTTAATATCTAACTACAGCATTGCAGCTCATGGTAACAGCCGTTACAACTGAAGCCACCACATCCAAAAATCCATTAGCTTCCTAAAAGCAGAGAGTCACTGGCCATTGTTTACCACAGCTGCCTCATTTCGTTGTTTGTCAGCACTGAAATCTGTTGCCAAACCTCTCAGGCTACTCTGCCCATCAGCTGCCAGTCAGAGTGCTGCTGCTGTAGGTTCATCCATCACTGAAACACAAGTGGCTCTACAGCTATCAGTCAGCCTCCCTGCCTCGGCATAAGCACGGCAGTCAGGGTTTTATTGGTGTGGAACACAATGTAAAACTTTAACACATACAGCTCAAAGTCTCACCAATCGACCTTGGTTGGATTATGCTGCATGTATACTAGCTATGTGTGGATTTCTTTGGTAATAGTACACATTTACTGTTAGAATCAAACATCCTTGAAGGTTATGTACTGGTTAAGGCAGGTTTAATGTACTGTAGTCATCTGTTACTGTAAAAACTGCATTTACCTGGATGAGGCCAGTAATAAGGTTTCTCCTCTGCCCACAGCCACACTTCTGAACCAATAAGGATGGTTACCTTAAGGCTTACTCGTGACAATGGACACTGCTCTCTCGAATGTGTTAAATTATTATTTTTCTGTACTGACAGAGCAGTTAGATACCAGGACAGAGTGTGCAGTTTTTCTCTTACAGTGCGAATATACCTGAATTTTATAAACTTAACTTCTAGAAGCAACAATCCTTTACCTCAGTTTCAGTTTAAGTCAAAGTTTGGATTTGCTTATTTTGGATGCAAGGATGCACCGCCACAAGTATTGATTTTTCCTTTTATCCTGCCTTGCTGCCATCACAGTGATCCTTTCCCCATCTTAAGTCTTTGTAATGCACCTATAAAGCTATGGTAGAAACTTGATTAGATATATATGAGACCAAGTTTTTACCTGCAGAAATCTCCAAATCCCTTAAAGGAAATTGGGGTGCTTTGGTTGAACATTAATTGTGGGGTCAGTGGTTTGATTCCCATCTCCTCTTGTCAACATGTGGAAGTGTCTTTGAGCAAGATAATTGCCCTATATCTTTGTATGTGAGGAAAATATGGTAAACATGATGTTTAAGAAATCCTACACCCAGTTAAACCGAAGGTACAAGAAATGAAAAACATTTAATGTTACCTAGTGCAGCTAAAGCTCCGACATGCATCTGCTTTACATGTAGTTATTGTAATTTTTACATACAGTAGATCCTATATTTACTGGTGCAGCTTTAAAAATTGAAATATTTGTCACATAATGGGCAACGATCACAGTTAGAGTTTGAAAAAAAATATAAGGTGTGATTTATTTAAGAGTTCAAAAAAGAGAGAAAGGAATCTCTCATTGGAAAAAAAAAAGTTCCATTATAAAACTCTTGTGCAGCCTCTTGTCTGGCCCATGGAGAGCATTGACATTCCAGGAAAACATTGCTTGGACACATGACCCTAATCTGTGTCACCAGTTTTCTGTCGCCAACCTTTAATTCACCTCCTGTGTCTCCGTTTGCCCTTTCTCTTTCTCTTGGTTTTCCCTCCTCAGGCGTGGTCCGTGTGTCCCTGGCAGACATGGACCGGGAGACCAGAGAAAACTACACTGTGGTCATCCAGGCCAAGGACATGGGCGGCCAGCTGGGGGGGCTTGCCGGCACCACCACCATCAACATCACGCTCAGCGACATCAACGACAACCCGCCCATGTTTGACCAGAGTAAGGAACAGTTTATACTTCTTCTCTCCTGTTTTTTTTATCCTTTACTTTACTCCCCAGCTCTACCTCAACCCACAGCAGCCTTTTCTAACCCCGTCTGATGCTCTCAGAGCTGAAAACGGAGCAAAATGTAAATTTTGACAGTTTTCTCTCAAAGGTAGAGAAACAGCGCAGCAAGGTGTGTTTGAATACATTGTGGCACAATACAAAAACGCTATATATGCATTGTGCACCTTTAAAATGGATCATATTATTACCTAAACCTTCCCAAGTTACTAATTGTTCCTTGTATTGGGGCTGCAGCAAAGCATTATTTCATTATTGATTAATCTATTATCCATAAAATGTCAAAAAATACAAAAAAAAACTCACGTGTCCATCACAGTGGAGAAACCAAAGATATCTTGTTTACGATGATGAATAACAAAGAAAAACAACAAATTCTCACGTTATGGGAGTTGGTTAAAAATGATTGATAATTAATTAATTCTCATGTATTGTATTTTTATTTAATTTTCAGTTTAGTATGAAGCAGATGAAGTTCTGAATGTAAACTAGCATCTTTATTTTTAATGTAGGAGATTCTTATATTTGCATTTTGCACCAACCATATCAACCCCCTTCACATCAAAGGACAGAATAAATAGGTATTTGTATTTGTCACAGTGTGTTTGTATGCCGCCATCTTTGTGAAAAAAAATCGCGAGTGTGTGTTGAATATCTTACTTACCATCCAACCCTATATGGAGATGTTTGTGACCCCAACTCAAAGCGCTCGAATGACCCTGACGTTCGATTGAATTTCAAAAACAGCACACTGTTTTGCTTCAGGGTTGATGCTTGATGCTTTTGAGTTACGGTTTCCAGTGCATTTCACTGAGTAGGAGAAGCAGCAGTGTGGTATGCATGCAAGAACATGGGACTGCAGCATCTCGACGCCATGTACGAACACTTAGAACATATCAGTGAGAGTTTACAAGTTTCTTTGGCTCCAGAGAGGATCAGCCCCCCAGACAAAACCACAGATCTCCTTATATATCCAAGTTATTTCTCTTGAGCATCCAAGCCGTTAGCCCCCTCTGCCCTTTTCCCTCTGTCCACTTCTGGCAATCAATCCCCAGTCATTTACCCCCTGGCCTCCTGCCTCCCCTCCTCCTCTCAGCCACCAGTCGCCCCCATGCTGTCTCTTTGATTATCCCCATTTCTGCTCCTCTCATTACCGTCCTCCTGAGGTCAGGGGTTGTCTAGCTGTCCGTGGTCATCTCAGCCTGGCCAGCGGGTGGCTTCACTCCTAGACAAAGAAAACACCCGCCGCCGTTGCCGCCCCACTTCCACTTCCACCACTCGTCTCCCACCAATTAACGCCATCACTTCAATGGAACTTTGATCGGTTGTGAAGAGCTTCAGGGATTCCCCTCTGTCAAGCACAATGTGCAGGCATTTCACTTTGGACTGCAGGGAGCACCACAAATTGGGCAGCTGCCACCTCTTCTTTGAGGTTAAACAGTAGATGAAATTCAAGCCGACCCGCGAGACTGTGTATAACCCATGTGTGAGGCGTTTATGAAGCCATTTATTTCAGGCTGCCTCAGAAATGATGTTGGGAGGAGAGAACGGCAGTAGAGGTGATGGAAGATGTTTGGCTCCCTCTAGAGGATAGAAGAGTAAAACAGATGGAGAAAGGTATGACAGAATGATCACTCTGTTAATGTGTATCCTCAGGGTTGTATCAGATGAGCATCCCAGAGTCTGCTCCAGTGGGTTCAGTGGTGGGTCGCATCTGGGCGAAGGACAGGGACATCGGGGTCAACGCTGAGATGAAGTACAGTATCATTGATGGAGATGGAAGAGACACCTTTGACATCAGCACTGACCCCACCAACCTTTTTGGCATCATCATGGTGAAAAAGGTACACAGGGAAATTGATCAGTTTTTATCAAATCACACAGGTTACAGGTAATACATAATATAGACAATTTCACCATTGAGAAAACTTATTTTACCACAGGCTTCTACAGATTCTGTGATATTTGTTCACACATGCACGTCACTTTGATGCTGTAAAGTTATATGTTTGAATAATATAACATAGGATTTATGATAAATTTCATAAAAGTAGACAAAGTGACTTGGGTCTGTACATTTTATTTGCGTACAGTCCTGATACAAACACCTGAAATGCTTCTTCGTCACACAGGGAGAAAGTCACAAAACTCCATTGAAAAATATACAAGCATTACACACCTTGTCTACAACCCACTCTTGATTTTAAGTTACTTTTGGTAAATTCGGCACTAAAATAAATGCTTTAAGTTTCACTTTTTTTGAAGAAACATCTCTTCACTTAATCTGTATGGTCAACTTGTGTTAAAATCTTCAGCCAAAGTGCAGCAGAAGATCAGAAACCATGAACAGAGTCATGTCGTCTGTTTAATGGCTTTGTGTATGTTCACCCTCCAGCCGCTGAACTTTGAGAACAAACCCAGTTACACTCTGAAGGTGGAGGGCGCCAACACCCACCTGGACCCGGCCTTCCGCCAACGCGTGCCCTTCAAGGACGTCACCATCGTGCACGTAAGCGTGGAGGACGTGGACGAGCCGCCGCTGTTCGACTTGCCAGCGTACTACATCGAGCTTCCGGAGGACGCAGAGATCGGGACCTTGGTGAAGACTGTGTCGGCGAGGGATCCTGATGCCGCCAACAACACTGTGAGGTGAGGAAAACGCTGTAGGTGAGGAAAACGCTGTAAAAGTACAGATGTATTAACAGTAAAATATGTCATTAATGGGTGAGCTGCATTTTGTGTGTCTTCTGTCCATAACATTTCTGTCCATAACTGGGTTGTAAAAAGCTTATTGTGCATTGCATTTTTTTTTTTTACACTTTTTACAAAAAATTCAACCCAATTCCAAACTGAAGTGACTAATTCAGAGGGAGATTTAGTGAAGTACAGTATTTCACTCTGAAAGCTTTTAATATGAATGGAGCACAACTTACTGTGAGTTTGCAGACAGGATTTTCTTGCTCAAAGTGGGGGTCAAACTCATGTTTTCTGGCCCTGCTGGTGTAACATTACCTGACCACCAGCAGGGGGCAGCATCACAACATGATTTCTCAGAGCAGGCCACAGCTTCAGGCTCTGTAGTAAAGCAACATGTCGTGTGTTTGAGAGCTCCACTGACGGATACTGACAAAACTGAGGATGAGGAGGACCAACGTAATAATAATGATAATAACAAATCAGACAAGTTTCAACATCCAACAATGAGTCAACACAGAGAGACTAGAAGCCGAGGACTTTCACTTCTGTCAGTCATTGGCGAGTAAGTTTTATGCTCTGACAGAACAGATGTTGTGCGGTGGGTTGACTGTCCAGACTGCACCTCTCACAAACTAATTAGACATAAAGCCTTTAATTAGGCTATTAATCATTTCACATGGCAAAAGCTGCACCCCGTCCCTGCCTCGGCCCTTTTACAACCTCGGTTAGTGGCTAAAAGAAGCTCACAGGAAATGGATGTAGATGACATGGTGGCTGCTTGTGTGCGTGTCTGCTAAATTCACACTCAGCAATTAAAATGCTGTGTCCTTTTATGTCTTTTTTATCCCATTGTGGGACATTTTGAGGGCAATACACTTACAAAGTTCAACACTTCAATAAAATGAAATGCTGGAAACTAAATATACGGCACTCATTCACTCATTTTCTGCTGCTTCTACTGGATTGCTTGTGCTGCAGCTTAAGCAAGGTATCCCAGAGGTCTCTCTGCTCAGCCAAGTCCTCCAGCTCTTCATGGGGGATCCTGGGTCATACCCAGGCCAGATGGGATGTTTAATCACTCCAACTTGTTCTGGGTTTTTCCGCAAGAGTTTCCCTCCAGTTGGACATGCCTGGAATATACCCAGAGACCTACAAGAGGCAGATGAATCCAAAGCACGAAAGCCCAAACCAACTCAACTGACTCCTTTCAGAGTTTCTGAGGTTGATCAGACCAAGTTGGACTGAATCTGTTCCGGTCAGTTTCAGTTGGTCTTGACTATCAGGATATATAATCATAGCGTGTGTTGAGTTAAAGGACTATGATAGTTTGTCTTCTGATCCAGTCGCTGATTTTTGGACAGCAAAACTGTCAGGAAATGGCAAGCAAGCTAGCCATGTGCTGTGAGAGTAGGTATCAGCTTTTCGCTCAAATCTAACTGAGGAGGTGAAGCTGTGTGAAGCTTTTGTTTTTCATCACTGACTGGATTATGTTCAGAGGCAGTGTTTTTCTTTTCCTTTTTTTTTTTCTTTTTTTGAATGAATGAATGAAGGCTTACATTTATAAACTGCATCAGAGTCGCTAGACAGTGGTTGGGGTGGCTAGCAGGCGCACAAAGCACACAACTGTCACACCAGAGACCAGGGCTCACACCCACAGCTCTGCCCGTGACCAAGACAACAAAAGCACCTTGGTAAAAGTGAGGGGGCAAGAAGATTATTAAGAAAAGTTGGCAGAAATTGTTTTTGTGTCCTACTAGGTTTGGGCAATATGAAGATACATTCAGTGAGAAATTTGACAACTACCATACGCTTATATGCTTATATAAAGTTATGTGTTCCCTCTACAGTATGTCTTTCTCTTATACTATAGTTGGCCAGTGATGGCTATCAGTTAGCAATGTTATAAACCAATGATCTTGACTTCAATGTGATGAAGCTCGGTGATTTATTAGTTATTTAATTCTGCTACTTAATGTATACAATTTCCCTATATCACATTTCATTTTTGAATCTAAAATCACATAAAACAAGTCTGGATTTTATATATTTCCCTCCAGTATTTCCTGCCATAGTGACTGTCTTTCCAACCCTTAGATTCATAGCCAGACCAGCCCTCCTGTACTGCTCTAAGTACAGTACTGCTCTGCTTTGATGCTTTAGGAACTCCACTGATGACAATTAACTAAGAAACTCTGCTGGAGAGAGGGCGGCGGGGTGGGGGGGGGTCAGAGCAGTGAAGCACTGATGCAGCTAAAGCTCCAATCTGAATATCATGTTTCACTGAAATCCCCAGAGCTGGCACCGTGTGCTGGCGGTGCATCAGTAAGAGATTTTCAAAAAGCCAGTTTGGAGTGTGAGCAGAGTTACGGCACAAGTGGCAGAAAGCTGAGGAATCAGTTGAGGGTGAGTGTGAAGAGCTGGGGCCGGATACTGCAGCAGCAGCAGCAACAACAACAACAACATCACAGGACAAATGAGGACAAAAAGCAGCAGGTGACCTTCAGTCTCTGTCTGTCTCATTTCCATTTTACATCTCTCTTTCCTTTACTGACTGTAGCATGACTGGCAGATATATCTGAACACACACACACACACACACTTTTTCACCTGCTGTTTCTCACATACACACACACACACAGACAGCAGCCCCTCCTCATGACTGTGGAGGAGTGATATTAATAGAGATCCTTCAGGGAGATCCTTGCCAGCCGTGGATGTGCAAGTCACGACTGTTCCCTGTCAGCACACAGTCCAACACACACACTGCAAACAACCCTACAGACATGAACACACACATAAACACTGCTGCCAAAGTGACTGTAGTATATCAGTTTGACAGTACCAGTCTTTTATAAAACACTTCCGCAGATGTGATGGAGATACGTAGTTTGATCGTGGGTTTTATATGTCAGTTAGTCATTTAAAGGCAGCAGGTTAAGGAGCTGCCTGCTAACCCCAAAAACAGGGTGGTTAAGGTTGTTTCATGATGCATTTAATGCCGTTTAAGATTATTCCACCCATGAAACACAAGAAAACACGGATTATAGAGTCCTGTTGAAGAGTTTTACTGGGCATCTCTACTATATCTTACAGAGCCCTCAAAGTCCTGGAAGATGACTTTTTATTTATCGTGAGCACACAGGATGGATGTAATGGCTCTTGTACATGCAAAATAACAAATTATGTGCACAACATTACTTTGGTAAAGAAATGGTTTTCCTCTTGTGAAGAACCTTCATTTGCTCTTCCAATTACTCTGTTACCATTAAACTTTCATTAAAGCCAGAATTGATAGGATTTCAAAATTTACTAATTTTCTAAAGAATAAATTAATGATTGTGTCTGTCTCGCTAATTCTCACCAAGATTGTTTGATCCGTCTACAAACAAAACATTACGTCGTTGGAAAAGTTTGAAAAATTAAATCTGCTGATTATCTGTTGATAGATGCCACTTAGGTGGTGTTTTTGGTTTGCTAACCCTCCCTTTGAATCAGTTTATTTTTATATTGATTACATTTTTATATTTTTAATCAATGTTCTTATTGAAGTATTGTTTCAGTAGGCTTGGGCACTTGTGTTGGATTTATGGGTGGTTAAAATGTTATAAGTTTGGACCTGATTTAGTCTGATTCAGCTCCACATACACACTGTTACCTCTTCCAGGTGAGAGCAGCTACAGGTGACCTCAGCCCATGTGTGAACACTTCGTGGTTACATAAACAGGTTTCTGCTCCACAGCCTGGAAGAGGATGTGCTCTACATTCTGCTGTTTCTCCTCCCCTTCTGTGTGTGTGTGTGTGTGTGGCTGTTGTTGCATGTCGCTCTCAGAAGAGTGTTTTGGAAATCGGCCCGTGGTGGCAGGAGATGAGCCAGGGCGGCACGCTGCAGGTCTGTGTATCCCCGGCGTCAGTTTGGCAGAAGAGGAAGATACTCTGATTAAGCCTTATCTGGAGCCTCTCCTTCTCATTGTGCCCCCAGAATCTGCCAGCCTTCCGCCTTATCGCACAGATACACACACGCCGCACATGCTGTATTGTGTGTGTGCACACGTGTCGCCTTCAGATAGGATTACAAGATCCCAAACACGCACAAAGGTGTATTTTATTCAACGCTGATATTCACATGTTTCTTTTTGTGCCGCCAGGTATTCCATCGAGAGTTCCAGCGACCCCGAGAAGTACTTCTACATCGAGCCCACTTCCGGGTCGCTGATGACGGTGCGTACGCTGGACCGAGAGGAGATCGGCTGGCACAACATCACTGTCCTTTCTATGGAAATGAGTACGTCACATGCAGGGACACAAACACAGACATGATCTCCACCTTATCAAGTCATTGCTGTCTATAATGTGAATATTTCGTGAATATTTCCTCCTGTTTCCGATCATGTTGTTATGTCTAGAAATGAGAGTCTGTATCTTTACAGAAACAAGGAATAATAAACATAGCTGTGCTGGAATCAAGAAAAATACACTTGATTTTGAAAGAAAGGCTTTCAAGTAGAAGTGAAAACTCTCACTTTTGTGTACAGAAATATAAAATGATAGTATTGTTATTATTTTCTCATTTTTCAGTTGAGAACAGAAGGATTTTTTGGATGTATTTGTAGAAACAGGTGCACCAGTATAGCCCTGTAAATCCTCTGAAACAAACTGAATTAAAGATGATTTTCCCTTGACTAAATTCAATATTTGGGCGAACACATTGTGCTAGTAAATTTGTATTCCGCCCAAGTCCAAGGTGACGTCTTCAAATGCCTTGTTTTGTTCAATCAACAGTCTGAAAACCCAAAGATATTACGTTTACAGTGATTTAAAACAGAGAAAAACCTCAAATCCTCACAAAATTTTTGCAATTATTTAAGCAAAATGAAGCAAAAAAGACCTAGCATTAGTTAGTTTGGCTTTTAGGACTTTAACTCCAGACAGCATTATCTGATAAGGAGATTCGTGCTGTGTGTTTACACAGAAAACAACCAGATGGGTGAACATACTTGCACTAATGCAGAACCAGTGATTTTGGAAAACAACTCCTGCAGAGTTATGTAATGTAGAGCGGGAGATGCCCTACAGATCTGCACACAGCTGGTAGCACCGAAAGTCACCTTCATGCTCCCTCCCTTTGCTTTGTTTTTCTGTGTGTCTCTTTGTTTGGTAGACACACCAAAAGGGAGACGGTAATTGAATTAATGACTAATTAAATAACGTCCCGCATGGTGGCTAATTAAAGATGTGATGGAGATGAAGAGGGCGAGGGAGGGCACAGATAGGAAGAGATGAAGAAAACAAAACAGCAAAGAAGTTTAAAATTAGCTGGAACAAACTAAAACTGATGATTAAACAAGAAAATGTCTTGGAAGTTTTTAAAACTTGATTTTATAATCTTCTTTCTTTCATTTAGAACAAAATGTCCATTTGTTAAAGCCAGTCAATCAATATTCACATTTGCTTTGTACTGTACTTTATCTCAAATAGATTTTCACATTGCTGATTTCACTTCACGTGGGTAAAAACCTCAGCACAGCTACAGCACTTTCACTGGAGCTGGACATTAAATTACTCCTCTGCGACCCTCAAACTCACACATAGACACGCACGTTAACACGAGGCCGCTTGAGCTTCGACCTCCAGAGCCAAAGTCACACCAATGATTGATCGATCATGTGATGAAGCCTGAGAAAGTAGTTACTGCCCTCTAATTGCGTTTCTATTGCCTATTACACAGCTGGTTAAGGTATGCAAATTGCTGATTGGTAATGGAGAATAATAGAATTGTGATCTAAGCGTGAGAGGCCCTAATATGCCGCAGGCTCACTGTAAATGAGGGGAAGATTAAGAGAGGCACAAAGTGAGCTAAGCAGGATCCCCAAAGAGTCATTAATCTGAGTCCATCAATGCATCTTACAGCTTCTGACCAATGTGTGTTTACTGTGTGTGTGTGTGTGTGTGTGTGTGTGTGTGTGTGTGTGGTGTGTGTGTGTGTGTGATTGTGGTGTGTGGTGTTTGTGTGTGTGTGTGTGTGTGTGTGTGTGTGTGTGTGTGTGTGTGTGTGTGTGTGTGTGTGTGTGTTCCTGCAGATAACCCAACACAGATCTCAAGTGTGTCCTTGGCTGTGAAGGTCATGGATGTGAATGATAATCCTCCCTTGCTGACACACTACTTGGAGGCTTATGTGTGTGAAAACGCCAAAGCCGGGCAGGTATGAAAACACGAATTATCTGAGAGTCATCTGGAAAAATTGTATATGTAGTTCATTAGTAGTAGATAGTAACGACATGTACTTAAGTGCAGCTCTTAAACTCAGATTTGAGCCACATTTCATGCTGCTTCATACTTCTCCTCCACCAGACTCCATATGGAAAATACAAAACTTTTTACTCCACTACATTTTTAGAGCTACAGCTAATGTTTTACATACATGATATATTATTATCTTAAAGAGCATCCTGCATCGTGACCACCTGTAGTTTGCTTGTATACAAAAATCTGAATTTCACAGTAACAGATACAGAACTATGACTGTAAAGCCTCCTGGGAGCTGCAGCTGCTCTAATCTGTATAATGAAATATGTTTACCCTAATAAGAAAAGGGATGTAAATACATAGTAAACTGATGAAAAAGCTTATGTTACATAATGTATTGCTTACACCACCACAGCTAAAGATGAGTCAGTGACTTTCTCCCACTGGGCTCTAACTGTGTGTTGATGTAATCCCAGTTGATCCAGACAGTGACGGCGGTGGATCCAGATGAGCCGCTGGGTGGACAGCACTTCTACTACAGCTTGGCTCCAGAGGCCGCGAACAACCCCAACTTCACCCTGAGAGACAACCAAGGTAGGTTGACGGTTTTAGTCAAAATTTTTTGTTTGCATTGTTTGTGGGATTGTAGCATTGCTATGAAGCCACTGTCTTCACTGATTTCTCCATATGGAGGGTGATGCCTGAGGGGCAATGCAGAGTCCCTGCATCATCTTCTATCATCACATACCCTGAAAGCTTTAGCTCCATTTTTAATGGAAGAATAGCACCGCTTTTTTTCTGTTTTGCACTTTAAACTACACAATAGATTTCCGCCAAGTCCGACTGGGTTACAGAGTGAAGTGAATGTCAGCAGGGGTTCCCATACGGTCTAGCTAGCAATCACAACAGCGGTCAAGACATGAAAGCATCTTGACAATTTAAAAACAAAGGTAATATAAAACAATACAAACAATATGGTAGAAGTGTAATTTCTCAACTCTGTGCTAGTGGATAAAAACTGTAGTTTCAGCCCACTTGGTCTGGAGCAACTGCACCTCTAGTGGGCAACATAATCCCATATGGTCTAGCGGTTAGGATTCCTGGTTTTCACCCAGGCGGCCCGGGTTCAACTCCCGGTATGGGAACTACTGATTTGTCGCTTTATGTATTGAGTTTACTATAGGCTACCTGTATACAGAATCTTGACGTGAACAGATGTTCCCTCAAAATCCAGCTCACTGGGTCATAATCTATAAATTCTGGAGGTTGGGATCCTTGATTATTACTCAGGTGGCCTGGGTTCAACTCCCAGTATGGAAAACAGCCTTGCAACATCAATGCAATTCAAAGGCATTAAGACAAGATAGGAGATGAAACACAAGGTAAAATATAAAAAAACAATTCAGTAGTAGTTTCATTTCTGTTTATATAAAGAGAAACATTTCATTTCTGGTTCAAAATTTCTATGCATTGCGGAACACTTTTATAACTAGTGTTAAAACATTACATAAAGCATATTTAATCATCACTATTTCTCACAAGTCTATGGTAGTAGATAAAAACTGTAGCTTCAGCTTAGTTGCTCTGGGAGAACAGCACCTCTGCTGGGCAGCATAATCCCATATGGTCTAGCGGTTAGGATTCCTGGTTTTCACCCAGGCGGCCCGGGTTCAACTCCCGGTGTGGGAACTGTAGTCTTGCCATTGTATAGTCATGACAATTATGCATTTCATTACACATCCAATATTTACGTTTGTGCTCTTAGCAGTACTTGCATAGGAAAGTACCAATCACACCACAGCCCTGTATGTAAAGTACAGTAGCAACAAGTACAGAAGGCCAGTACATAGATACTGTATTTGAAGTGAAGGAAACAGTGCTAAAATGCTACACAAAGTGTCTTTAATCATGTATCTCTTATGACTCTGTGCTGGTGTGGCTAAAAACTGTAAAAGGTCAAAGATAAAACATCAGCTTCCTCTTCCTCTTCCCTCCAAATATGACTCAATAACTTAATGTTAAAGCTGTATGTCCCATATGGTCTAGCGGTTAGGATTCCTGGTTTTCACCCAGGCGGCCCGGGTTCGACTCCCGGTATGGGAACTACTCTTTTACCTTTGCAAATACTCCTGAGACTGACTTCTTTACCAATTTTAGCATTAATCCGTGGGGATATGATATGATGGAGGCCACAAAGGCCAAAGACAGGTTTACATTCTGTTATTAATATAATAATGTGAGTTTAAGTTAGACTCTGATATAAATATTTGAAGGGATTCGGTACAGAAGAGTGTGAGGAAGGCTTTCAAACTGCATCATGTAGAAAGATAAAACTTAAAGAAACCATAAGCCAGCTGTTAAAGTAATGAGAACATTTCACAGGGTTTTGTTTTGGTAGCTAATTAGAAATGTCGCACTTGGGCATTTGGACCCCTGACTTCAGCATTGACAAATTATATATACTCTCTACTACAAGTCAGCTGACTTCTCAGAGCTAGTTTTATAAGTTGACAGTAATGATCATGGTGTCTCAAAATAACAAGCAGTGAGTAATTGGTGTTACATTGCTGCATATAACATCTATAGCATCTTCAATCTTCACTTCATCTTCACAGCTGCACAAATCTTCAATTCACAGCATCACCCCCATCTCCCATGAGTCTGTGCTCATCCACCATTACCTGTAATCTTTAATGTATACTGTTCATGCCCTGGACCCTGCTATCTGTGAAAAGCAGCCATTGCAGAATAAGCGATCTGAGCTCAGCAGACTCCAAATGTCTTGTCTCTGTGTCTCTGTATGATCACTCAGCCTTTCCCTGACCTCTTTGTCTCTTTCCAGACAACACAGCGTGGATCCTGACTCGGCGTGGAGGCTGGACACAGCAGGACCAGACCGTGTTCTACTTGCCTATCTTTATCTCTGACGGCGAGCAGCCGGTCCAGACCAGCACCAGCACGCTGACCATCCGAGTGTGCAGCTGCGACCATGAGGGCAACGTCATGTCATGCAACGCCGAGGCCTACAGCCTGCCTGCCAGCCTCAGCAGAGGAGCCCTCATCGCCATCCTGGCCTGTATCTTTGTCCTGCTGGGTGAGTTATGATCTGCTGCTGTGATGGTGTGCAGAGAGGAACCAGTGGCCTTTTGTCATGTAATGGTATTTAATCTGATACAGTATCAGGCAAAAGCTCATACAGCCTCCTGGGTACCTGCAGGTCTAGAAAAGCTGAAAGTCGCCTTACAGCCTCAGATATGATTATATTGTAAAATTCCTGTTTTCAGAATGAGCCAGACTTGAAATTGAAGACATTTTTTTATGTGACTTATGACGATTTATGATGGATGGGTTCCCCTTGAACAGCAGCACAACTAACCAGTGATATGTGTGAGGTTTTCAGTGAAACTGATGGGCTCATAACCACTAAAAAACACATATAAAATATAAAAATGGATACCCCCACCTTCCTTTGAAATCCAAATTATTATGTCTACTCAAAACAGCGAGCTCAGGCTCCAGGCAGGCAAAGATGTTTTAACTAAATTTATTACTCCCTCCCAGTGGAGCAGAGTGAGTCAACCTGCTGAGCCGTCCTGCTCACAGTTACTGGTCTGCAGGGAGAGATAAAGTGGGTTCATATCAGCATCCAGGGGAAAAGAGAGTGTGATGCTACAGGGCAGCTGGTGCTAACGAACACTAGACTTTTGCGAGGATGCAGAAGGAAAGCCATATTTAATCCTGCACAAATCATGTCACACTGGGAGATGCCTTATGGCTGGCTGCTTCTCATGCTCCCGTGGAGTCTCTTTTTTCACTACTCTTTGTGTTTCATATCATATCTCGTTCTCATGTTGTGAGCAAGTGTGCAGCAATAAGTCAGTCACGGCTGAGGTGATAAAATCGGTTAAATAATATCTTGATAACATGCATATTCATCAGTCCAGAAGATTTGGTGTTTATTTTCAGTTTGAAAGTCGATCATTTCCCACTAGAGGATGCGTCACAAATACCTGAAAGTAGCACACCCACTGGCTGAAAGGTCAGAGTGTAAAACAAAATGCTGGAGTGATTTAAATCAAGGCCTACTGCTGCCCGGAGGCTGGCCCTCCGTCAGCGTTTTTACATTCTACTAGTCAACAGTTGAATATGCGGTCTGACTAGGAAAATGTTTTCTAGCCACATACTCCACCTAAAGGCAACTGCATGATGTTTTTTATGCATTCATGCTACGTATGTATTTATTTATTTATTATCTTACGTTTGTTCTGTCAATGAGGCATTTGTCCCAAGTTAGATAAATCACAAAATGCCATTTGTACAAGCAAGGCTGTTCTCCTGCCAGCTGTCCTGCTCCTGTTGCAGACATGTTTAGTTTGGTTTATTTGTTTATTTCTCAGGGACTTTGCACATTATTATAAATATGCCAGTATTAGTAAGTTTAAAACAGTAATCATAAGTTGGCTCTGTGTGGGACATAAACAACTTCAACCCCTGAAATAAGGTCATCGTGCCGTTTTCTGAAAGGCTGGACAGTGGGTGCAGGTGGGCGGGGCTTGGGGCATGGCTGAGAGCGGTCTGCTTTGTTGTGACATCACAAAGTTAAAGAAGTCCTGACGGCTCATTTTTAAATCTCACTTTATACAATATGGGACCTTTTTAAAACATTAAGTGATAAACAATATACAATTAAACAGCTTTCAGACTTTACAAATTACTTCTTGGATTTCATAAATCGCATGTATTTGACTGAAAATAATTTAGTAGCTTGACATACATTAAACTTTAACGTCTGTCTCTGCAGTATGCTGACCGTTTTTGTTTATTGTTCTTCAACAGTGATGATTCTGCTCATGCTTTCCCTGCGGACTCATCGTAAGAAGCCCTACCTGTGTGATGAGGAGGAGAACGTCCATGAGAACATTGTGCGCTACGATGATGAAGGCGGTGGCGAGGAGGACACCGAGGCCTTCGACATCGCCGCCATGTGGAACCCACGTGAGGCGCACCACCACCTGGGTAAGATGAGACAGGACATGCTGCCAGAGATTGAAAGCTTGTCGCGCTACGTCCCTCAAGCGTGCGTAATGGGTGGCGGCGGGGACAGTAACGTTCACGGATACGTGCTGGCGAAGCTCCTGGAGGCTGACATGGACCCGTGCGCCCCGCCTTACGACTCCCTGCAGACCTACGCCTACGAGGGGGAAGGTTCGGTCGCTGAGTCGCTCAGCTCGCTCCAGTCAGGAACCTCCAACACCGACCACGAGTACGACTATCTCAATGAGTGGGGGCCTCGTTTCAAAAAGCTCGCTGAGATGTACGGCGTGCTGGAGACAAACAGTGCTCCAATGTGGTAGACCTCCTGAACCTTTGCCTTTTTATTCTTAAACACACTACAGCAACAAAAAGAGAAAAAGAGAGACAAAAACACATCAGAGAAGTGACATAAACAGACAAACCGTGTGTGAGGAAGACACAGTAAAGCCAGGATCTGCTTACGTCCACATCCATGACTGTTAGCACTTGAATTCCTGCCGAAGCTTCGATTCTCCACAGCTTTGGAGGCCTGAGATGCCCGCAGCAGCAGCAGCAGCAGCAGCAGCAGCAGCAGCAGCAGCAGCAGCAGTAGCAGCAATGTGAGCTGGTTTTTAAATCTCCCCCAGAGGTGGGGCTTCAGAGACGGGCTGGATTGGCAGCCTCATGGGGCCCCACAAAGGAACGGCTTCAAAGCACATGTTAACTCCCCCGCCTGACCCAGCCACAGGCAGAGCCCCTTTGGTTCAAAGTGTTGAGCGATTTATGCCAGAGATGAAAACGAGAGAGCGGGGCTACCTTACTCACAGCAGAACAGGAGACGAACTCTGAAATGCTGATCCACTGTTCTGAGTTTGTGCTTTTATACACACTGACGGACCACGAAGTGAGTGAGGAGTCATTGCTGCAATCGGGGGTGTGTTGTTGTTTTTTTTGGGTTTTTTTTGTTTCATCTGTGGCAGGTCTTAATTTATTTCTTTGTTTCATGTGCTGTATTTATATTTTTGCTAAATTATTTGGGTACTTTAAAACCGACACTGTACTTAAACTGCCGCTCCGTGAGGAAATCTTTAAAAGATCACATATTTGTTGTAACATACATGATGTAACTGCCCTTGTTTTCAGTCTATGTGAGAATAAATAAAAAAAAAAATTCCATGCATCTCCAAATGTCATGTAATATGCACAGGAGATGGTGATGCTGTAAACCCATGTGGGTTTTCCAGGTTGAGATGTTTATTGTATTATTGTTTTTGTATCATTTGTAGCTCTTTGTATTGTAACTGTGTTTTTTTTTTGTTTTTTGTTTTTTTTGTCCCAAAAACGCAAAGCAGTTACACATTCATGAGCAGAAGAGGGAAGTCATTTTTAAAAAATCTTTTGATGGAACTGGACATATCTCAGCAGACGGTCACACTTTACACAAGATGCATCCCTGTACCTGGATGTGCACATGACCGCTTCGCCTTTCATTTCGGATCCACCGCCGTGCCAACAAGAGTCCGACAGCAGCAAGGCTTGATCTGTCCTGTTAGAGATACTGTGTTGTTTCTCTGCCACCACACAAATGTGGCTTAATCCTCCAATCCTGTGGACTACAGAGACACTGATAATCTACATTAAGTGCCAAATGTAAAAAGGACAAAAAAGACATTTTGGGAGAAAAAAAAAAACAAAAAATGAATAAAACACAAACACCAAAAGACAACAAAGGATTTTCCGAACTGGGAGAGAATTGATGGTACATTTTGATAATTCGATTGGGTGGAGTTTACTTGAAATCTATGTGGTCAGTCATGCTACAGTAAGTGGTATGTGAATGTAGATATTTTTTGTATTCTTGGTAATAAAAAGTTCAAAAATGACATTACTTTTCTGTCTTTAAACCACCTGGAGTTGAGGAAATTGATGAAAGACTGTACTGATGCAAGACCAGAAAGTAGCCTTCCTGAGCATCTTGGTGGCAAAAATGTCACTAGTTTGGGATAAACTGCTTCTTTTGGCAGGAGAGAACATTATGCAATCCCCTGAAGCATGACAGAAATGTAAGTCCTTCAAAAGATGAAGTAGTTATTTAAATTTGCAATCACATGCTAAATTGTCCTCCAAAGTGTTATTGCAGATGATTCAGTTTTCATCACAGTTTCCCTTTAAAGTACATAATTTGCATGACTTATATTGTTTTGCAACGATAATGTTTAGCATTGATTAAAACTCATCCCCCACAATGCCTGCAGTACCTGAGCCTCGAGCCCCGGTAGCACCTCGTAAAATTGTTCCATCTGATTGCTTTCACTATAACATTTATATGAACGAGTGGAATATTTGCCAATGGGAACCGATCAATTATAAACAACAGTCTCGACTTAATTGCTTGTGTCAATCAAAACGATACAAATGAAGGACAGGAGAGGCTAAATGAAAGGGAAGGAGAAAGGAGGCAAGAAAAGTGAAGTAAAGATGCAATGAAAAGAAAAAGTTTTGGTAATGTATAAAATGAAAGGAGAATCAAAGTGATAATCTACCCCGTATGTTATTTTCTACTACTCTGAATTTCCATTAACGGTGTCAAAACAAATAGGCAAGAAATAACTCTGAAATCAGTGGCCCTGGCTTACCTGCTGGGTGGCATTCAGCAGTGAAATTGCACAGAAGATGAGCCCATAATATTCCTCAGATTTAAATGTTCACTTAAATGCCCTCACACGCCTCCTCTGCTCGCTGAGCAGCACACTTCAATTACACACTGGAGATTTTTTCTCTCATTTGTCTCTCTTTGTCTTAACAGTCCACACAGGCCTTAGAAATCTTCATGTTTCTCCATTTACTATTTTAAAACTAACACTGTAACCTCCAATCATCTTATCAGTCAACTCCATGTGTTCGGACCGGCTCTGTCGGCCATTTTCTGTTGTCTTTCTGCCCTCTAGTGGTCAAAAATGGCTCCATACAGCTTTCAGTGTTACTATTTAAAATATTTTCAAACTTATAAACGGATGCGACAGCACTGATGTACAGCGTTTCACTTATAACTCTATGTTTGTATATGTCCAACAATGTAATAGTACAGACTATAACTTGTTGTGTTTGCTAAAAGTGCTAATGGTAGCTGCTTAGCAGAGCTAGCAAGCAAGACCACTGGTTCAATCTGGCTTAATCTTAATTGGTACAAAAACAGGAATGTAAAAGTGACGCTGTGACTGTTTCTTGAGAAACCACAACTTGTGCTTTTTTTTTGTGCATTTCAGTCTGTGTTTGTAAGTGTATTTTTTCCCCCTTTTGGTTGGATGCAGCCAAGCCTCTCTTTCCATATGGAACCCGCCCACTTTACAATAGTAAGAGGAGCACAGACAAAACCTGAGAAATCTGTTAAATGTTAATGCAAAAAATTTCACAGTTTACAAAATTGGAGATACATGCATCATGCGAATGTGGCTGCAAGTAATGATTATTTTATTTATCGGTTAATTCTTGATTTTTTTTTCTGTTGTGACAACCCTCAGAGACAGAGGGTGGAGTCAGCTCGTCAAAGAGATTCAGCTCACCTGGACTGTCTGCATATAAGCTAGAGGCAGTCATACAATCCCCCTTTGTCTCCCCTGGCTTTCAACCCTGGGCTTTGTTGTATTTAGGTTCTCTTTTGGTCACGTAAAATAAGACTACTTGTCATAATTGGTGTGGGGTCTTGGCTTTGTCTGAGCCCAGCTGTGACACTCTCAAGGACGTTTTCACACCTATAGATTGTTTTACTCTGAAGATGATGAGGATTTCCCCTTGGTTCATTTTCTTTTCACACAGAGACACATCCAAACAGACCAAAATGCATCACTACAAACCACATCAGAACATTCACTCTTTTGATTGGCCGGATGTGTCTGGGGCGGGAATAAGATAGTAAATACAGAAAGAGGGTCCTGCTCTGGACTAGCGCATTGCTGCAGTTTAACATGGAGCAGCAGCAGACTTGGCGTCTGCTCAAACTGAACAAGGGAGCTAATATTAGGCACGCACAGCAACATGCTAACTGTTAACATGTCTTTTCTTGCCATGAATCTACCTGTAGGGTAGTTGGCTACAGAATACTTCATCATCATTCATGAACTGTGCATCACACTAAGATGAGGCAAAGCACACCTGGCTACCAGAGCCTTTGAACTCAAACTGCAGAGTGCACCTGGTAGTTGGGTGGACTCGAGGTTGGATCACGCTCCCACCATAAACGAACCCGGCCAAACTGAGACCATCTCCTATTAAGGGGCTCAGTGCAGTTGTTCTGGAAGCACCAAGGGGGAAAATGAACCAGAGTGTGATTTTTAAAGTTTGAAAATCCAGTCTGGTGTTTCAGGTCATAAGACAAGCTGCAAATCCTCACTTTTGAAAAGCCAGAACTTGCCATTTTTTTGTCATTTTTATTTGATGGAAATGACTTAAAGGATTACTTGGTGCATAGAAATTCATGACAGTACCTTTTTTTCCAACTGAGACTCATCCATTTCAAACCAATAAGAGAAGCACAGACAATAATCACTAAAAATGTCCAGGTATAAACTCAAGTCCATCAGTTTCCCATCATCCACTTCGTTTTCATCCATTTATTTTCAACAAAAAATTTATAGACCAAAAGGGTTTCAGTTCAAAGCTGCAAATCCTCACAATGGTGATGCAAACTCACAAATGTTTGCTGTTTTTTATTTGATCTGAAAGGATTAATTGCTTATTAAAATTGTTTACTTTGTCTGTTGATCCACTAAAAGATTAATGAACTATCTAACTCGGCCGTGAGTCTCGGTGCGAAAGAAACTTCATGTTTCAGCTTCTAGTTTTCCGACAGACTGTGGGGAGTTTTATTATTCTGTGAATGTTATTCTCTAGGTTAGAAAACTCTTCAAGCACTCCTTCAGTCACAAAGACGAGAAGGATCTACGCTCGCTGTGACCTTATTCCCATCTCTCACCATAAATCTCTCGTCAAGAGCATTTGTCAGCATATAGAGCTCATGTCCTGCAGTCTCTTTCCTCCTCAGTGCCCTTCTCTACACATAAATTAAATCCTAACAACCCCTCGCGTGCAAACGCCCCACTGCAGCCTCCCTCTCCTTCCCATTTTGCCCCCTTTGCCAGCCTCTCCCAGGGCCATTTCCAGGCCGGAGCAGTGCCATCCGAAAGGCACTGAGGGGGCAATTTGTCTTAAGCTCCGCTGCTCTTTCTAACAGACGAAGGAGCTCAAACGGTAGAAGATAATAAGAAGCCTTCCAGCTCTAATCCTGCTGAGGGTAAACCGCAGCAGACCCAGTGAATCATCCCCTAATGCGAAGTGGAAAAACACACTCTGCTCTGCTGGAAATTGAGGGGCGGAAAGAAAGGCAAACTCCAGGCCCTGGGAGAGAAGAGCAGGTCCAACCCATTTGACATGTGGAGTTAGAGAGTGAAAAAACATACAGACCCAAATCGCTGCGGGGCTTTCCCTCTCTGATCCTCCTCTTATCTCCATCCGT